GAGAATGTCATCGGTAACATTCATTGAATTGTCAATGAGAATAAAATGTATTTAGTTTTAAACACTTGAAATTAAATTGAAATAATAATAATAAACAATTAATTAAGTGTTAATAGAATTGTCATTTATTCATTAATTAATGGATATTAATAACTTCATACATCATTAAAATGAGTAATTTATTTGTTTTATTTATTGTTTAGTTTTTCTTTGTATTTTATGAATAAACCATTTTAGTTTGTTTTATTTCTTTCTTTTTATCTTCTTCTTATTTGTTTTTCATTTTAAATAACATTTCATCTTCTTTCTTTATTTCTTATTTTATGTTGAATAAACATTTCATTATCACTTCTGTTATTATATCTAATTTCATTTAGTATAAATATCATCTTTTATATCATTTTCATGTGATATTATTTTTTCATAACATTTACTTCATTCTTTGTATTATTATTTATTATATTTCTTATTCAAATACAACAACATAATCAGATAATAATTGTTAATTCATTGTTTGAACTTGTAGTAAAGTTTGTGTGATGTCTCTGACATACAACCTTCAAACACATGAAACTGAATTATAAAAGAAATTGAAAAAAAAACGGAAAGAAGTTTAAGTTAAAAAATAATAGCAGGGAAAGAAATGTAACTTCTTTCTATTAACTGAGTCATGTAGTCCACATCAAGAGCACCACACATCTCACGAATTGAATGCATAGAAAGCATTGGATTACCAAGATCTATAGTTGTCATTCCTGTTGTTGCAGCAACATGTGGACCTATTGTCGATCCACCAAGAATACTCTGTTTAAGAACAAATGTTTGAGTGGGAATATCTCCAGCAGCTTTAACGACCATTGCACGTAATAGTCCATCAGACATATACCTTTGTCCACAATGTTCTTTTAAAACTGGCCCACTATTAAGTCTTATTGGATGATTCTTTTCCATTACATCAACAGTAGGATGAGAAGCATGTGCTCCGTCTATTGATAAAACAACTGATTTTGAATAAGCTACATAAATTGATTGGATACTTTCATTATTAAAAAGAATAGAATGAACACGGTTAATGATATTTGTTAAAAAAACACTTTGTGCTCCTCTTCTATTTGTTGATCCAACCTCTTCATTATCAAATGCTACAAACATATCTATTTGTTGAGAGTTTTGGTTAAGTTGTTCACTAGAGAAGAATCCTTGTAATGATGTGAAAACACCATTTAAATTATCAATTCCTTGACCAACAATATATTTATTCAAAGATAAAAATGATGCAGGTTCACAGTCACAGAGACAAAGATCAGTTGAAATAATGTCTTTTACATCTACTTTTAATTGAACAGCAATTTTATTTAGAAGTAAGTTATATGCAGAAATATTCTTTGATGCTGCTTCTGCACACACAGCAGAGAGATGTTTATCCTTATCGATTATGTATTTTCTTTCAGTGTCAAGGTGGATTGCTAATCCACAAATTCTAAACAATGGCTCCTTAATTGAAACAATATGCCTTTCTCCATTAGCTAAAATAACTCTTCCAGATATTCCTAAATCACGGTCAATCCATGTATGCCAAATTCCACCACCATACACTTCACAAGATACTAGTGCAAGATTGTTCTTGAATACATCAGGATTTGGTTTTAATTTTAAGAAAGGAGAGTCAAGATGTGAACTTGTAATGAAAATCCTTGATGTAGCATTTGCGTTGTTAGTTCTAAATGCAACTAAACTGCTATCATCTCTAACAAGATAATATTTTTTATGAAGTTCAAGGTTCCAAACCTCATTTTCTTTAAGACGGACATAACCAGCAGATTCAAGTCTTTTCTGTACAACTTGACAAGCAACAAATGGAGATCCTGAAGCTTCGTTTAAAAAGTTGATGAAGTCTTTAGCTAAAGATGACATGATACAAAATTTTAAGATTTTTCTTTTTATTTTATTTTTTCTTTTTTTCTTTGACTTTATCATCAAACTTTATTTTACTCACAACAATAAATATTCATCACAGCAATAAACCTAAGCACAATTGTTAAAGCTTCCTCTTTGTCTTTGTAAATTATATATACAATGAAAAAAATAGGGTTTGAAAGAACTATAAAAATAAGAGAAGAAAAAACATAATCAAATCATAAAAAATGAGTGACTCTGACAATACTAATAAAGAAATTAAGTCATATGAACATCCTGAAAAACCACTTTCAAAAAAAAAGCAAAAGAAATTAGCGAAGAAAGAATTAAAAATGAGATTATGGAAAGAGACAAGAAGTGAAATGAGAAAAGAAAGAAAAGAAAGGGCAAAGGAGAGAAAAAAAGAAATGAGAGAGAGTGGACAATATATTCCTCGAAAGAAGAAAAGAACAACAGAAAATCTTGAGATTGGAGGGAAAGTTATTATAGATTGTGATTTTGATGATAAAATGAATGAAAATGAAGTAAAGTCATTATTTAACCAAATTCAATTATTATATGGTGCTAATTGGAAATATGAACATCCTTTAGAAATTAGATGTATTGGAGTTAATGGAAAACTCAAAGAATTAATTGAAAAAAGAGAAGCACATAAATGGAAATTAATAACATTTGAAGAAAAAAAAATTGAAGAAATTAAAAATGAAGTTCAATGCGTTTATCTTGCAGCAGAGAGTGAAACAGTTATTGATAACTTTAATAAAGAAATAAATTATGTAATTGGAGGGATTGTTGACCATAATAAATTTAAACGATTATGTGAAAATAAAGCAAATTCATTAAATATTTCAACAGCTCGACTACCAATAGAACAGCACATTGAGTGTATTGGAAGAAAAGTATTAACAGTAAATCAAGTTTTTGAAATCATTGGTGAACAATGTCAAACAAATAATTGGGATACTACAATACAAAAAATACTTCCACAAAGGAAGCAAGAAGTGCCACCCAAAAATGAGCCAAAAAGTGATGAAGAGCTTTCATTGTAAAATGTTATCAAAGTTATTAATTTTTCTTTTATTCCATAATATTTTATATTTTGTAATAAATGTACTATAATCAATTTTATATTCTCAAATAAATAATCGAATAAAACCAATTAACATAACATTCATTTGGTGGTTAACAAAACAAAATTGACAGATTTAAAAATAGTATAAGAATTAAAAATTATTTTTTGTTATTTTTACATTTTTCAATTTTTTCGTGATTTTTTTTTAATGTTTAACTAAACTTTATATTAAACGAACATATCATTTCCTACTACATTATTATTAGCCAATTTCTTTGTACAACTAAGAACGTCAAAAAAATAACTAAAACCATTTCGTTTTTCCATTTTCATTAACAGATAAAATCGCCTTTTTTTCTTACGCTGAACTTAAAATTTAAAAAACTTAAAATTATCAGATTTAAAATAAAAATGGGAAACACCCTCTCTGGATTGAAACAAGAAGATGTTGAACAAATGATGGCTACAACTAACTTCACTGAAAGTGAATTAAGACGTTTATTCCGTCGTTTTAAAAAATTGGGAATGAAAGCTAAAGAAGGTGCCTCTGAAGAATATGATGACCTTGCTGAATTAACTTCTAACCCAGTTCTTCAAAGACTTCTTGAAATCTTCAATCGTTATGAAAATGAAGAGGTACAATTCTCTCAATTTGTTGCAACCCTTTCAACCCTTTCTGATAAAGGAAGTCAAGAAGCAAAACTTAGATTTGCTTTCCAAGTGTATGATGTTGATAATGATGGTTTTATATCAAATCCAGAACTATTCAAAGTTCTTAAAATGATTATTGGTAGTTCTTTTACTGATGAACAATTACAACAAGTGGTTGATAAAACTATTATCGAAGCTGACAAGGATAGAGACGGAAAGATTTCATATGAAGAATTCTGCAGTATTATCTTAAAGAACTCTGAAAATATTGGAGAAAAGCTTACCATTAATTGGCAATAAATTGAAATCATCTTTTTTTATTTCCTAATTATCGTTTTAACTAATCTACTTTCTTTTTCTTATTTATTTTTTTTTATTTTTAAAACAAATAAAATTTATATAACAAAATATCTCTATTTAATTACAATAATACATTATTCCATA